ATAAAAAGCATACCTATTGTCTGCACTGTTGTGCGCCGCGACGACCTGTCATTGGTTAAGAGGAGGGCAAACGACTTAGGGGCTATCAATCATCACAATACCACGACTCCACGTCACTGCGCGACTCACCTCATTGTTCCCGCCTTCACTTTCGTTTCAGGCAACCATTGTCCTGCCAGCTGCAGTATACCCGCCACTCGCGATCTTCGATTACCCTCACCCCGCCACGACTCTGTTACTTCACTTCGCACAGTGCACCGATCTACACAACAACAAACCCATAACCAGGCGCATCCATCTCGATGGCGCGAGACGACCCAGGGGAGACCGCTGCGGCGCATGCGCAGACCGAAGAGGGCGTCGCAACCCCGACACTGATATCGCCGCCCGAGTCAAAGACACCGCCTACCGCCTCGCACAAGCGCAACCAGATCTTCCCCTCCAACCCACTCGATCGGGGCTCAGAACCTATAGATGCAGCGGCGTTAACGAAAGCGCTTGGCCATATTGAACAGGCTGGCCGAGTTAGGGAGCGGACACCAACAGCAAGCCCAAGCCGAAAGCGCCCGCGCATATATGGCGACAGGTGAGATTGCAACAGTCTAGTCGCACTGGATTATCTGTACTGACGTCTCCTCAGATTCATCCCAAATCGCGCAGGTCAAGACCTCCAGGCAAGCTACAATCTGCTCCACGATGAAGCCTCACCAGCAACTCCGTCCAAAGCGAGGCGCACTCCGCACCACGAGCTACACTTCCAAAAGAGTAAGCACTCGCAGTCCTCTGCTATACAGTCACTAACCCGCCATAGCCGAAGAAGCCAATCGCACCTACTCCGCCGTTCTCCGACAAGAGATGTTCGAGGGCTCCGTGCCCCAAGCCTTTCCTCAGAGTCTGTCGCCGACAGATAGTGCCAACATGCGAGGGGCAGGGCGCTCACACACACCTCCAGCTAGAACCACAGCGACATTACCGCCGCCTTCTGGAACCCCATCAACCCCGCACAAGAATCTGTTCTCCTACTCGGGCCAGCCAACTCCGTCGCGGACGCCCTCAAGTCGACATGGTATTCTCAACCTCAACGCTCGTTCAGATCTTTACAGCCTATCACCAATCAAGTACAGCAGTCAACGCATGCTTCTTAGCCCACAACGGCAGGCCCGCGCCGTCTCCAAGGTACCATACAAAGTTCTGGATGCACCGGATCTTGCAGACGACTTCTACCTCAATCTCGTCGACTGGGGCAGCCAAAACACCCTGGGAGTAGGACTAGGATCATGTGTTTACATGTGGAACTCGAGTAGTGGTCGCGTTACCAAGCTTTGTGAACTTGGCGATGATTCAGTTACAAGTGTCAACTGGATACAGCGCGTAAGTTCTGTCATCTAAATCAAATTTCGCACATACTAATCTCCATCAGGGCTCTCACATTGCGGTCGGAACCAACCGAGGCCAAGTACAAATCTGGGATGCGCAGACTCAGCGCCGTCTTCGCACCATGACAGGTCACACAGCTAGGGTCGGCGCCCTTGCATGGAACGAACACATCCTCACCTCAGGCTCGCGAGACCGTACAATCTACCACCGAGACGTGCGTCAGCCAGAGCAATGGCTGCGCAAGCTTGTTGGCCATAAGCAAGAAGTCTGCGGCCTCAAGTGGAATCAGGAAGATCAACAACTCGCATCCGGAGGCAACGACAACAAGCTCATGGTTTGGGACAAGCTCAACGCCGAGCCTACTTTTAAGTGGAGTGAGCATCAAGCTGCCGTCAAGGCCATTGCTTGGAGCCCACATCAGCGTGGTCTTCTCGCTAGCGGCGGTGGTACAGCAGACCGTACTATCAAGTTCTGGAACACACTCGTCAGCTCAAGCGGCCCGTCAGCTTCAGCACTCGCCTCCGCATCGGCGGCCGCGTCAGCTGCAACCACTGCCAACGTGCCTCTATCGCCTACAGCACCAGCAAACCTCATCAACAGTCTTGATACTGGTAGCCAAGTTTGCAACCTAGCATGGTCAAAGAACAGCAACGAGATCGTATCCACGCACGGTTACAGTCAGAACCAGATCATTGTCTGGAAGTACCCGAGCATGCAGCAAGTCGTCTCGTTGACGGGCCACACCTACCGTGTACTCTACTTGGCCATGAGCCCGGATGGTCAGGTCATCGTCACTGGTGCTGGTGATGAGACGCTTCGCTTCTGGAACGCGTTCAAGAAGAAGGAGCGCACTGGAGGTCTTAGCAGCATGGATAGTTGGGGCGTCATTCGCTGAACTATTCTATCTGCTTTGCTCTTCTACTGATAGTGTACTATAGGACTGATGTCGAACTACGCCGAACCTCTCGTGAACCGGACCTCTGAATAGCTTTTATGCTACTTCTCAGATGGGATACTAACGTGTCTGTGTAGTTCATCACAGCGCGCTACTGTTGCGGTTCACTCTGCGTTATTCGCAGACACAGTCCACCTACTTCCTTTCTTCGACGATTTCAGCGGCATTTGTACGGTTACGATGAAAACTTCGGGTGTTTCTTTATGAGCATGTGTGGCGTTCTGGGCGTTATAAGCGGCTCGATACCATGGGATCTTATTATGGGCGGCGTTGGTTCAGACAGCTAGGCACATGCTATAGTCTCGGGCTTGGGTGGTTTATCTGATATGGACCTGAAGGTTAATCCTTCCTGGCCATTGCGAATGCCATATTCTTCTATCTAGGCACTCAGATGAGTAGTGCTTCTTTGCATTTGCTTCGGCGGATCTTGGGCTGAAGCTGGAGTTCAAGGTTCTAGGGATCACAGCCCTTTGGGTACATGGCCGTCGATTGACTTGGGCTGGACTTTTCATGATTACGATTGTACATTAGTAGCTCAGATATCACGCAAACCAAACGTGAAACTTTCAAACAAAATCCATCATCCTGCAGTCTGTGCGAGGGAGTCGTGGTGTGAAGGAGGAGGAGCAATGACTCCAACAAGTGTACGAGGAAACATGCCCATCTGACGGGAGCAGTATCTGTTAGCTGGACGAACTTCATTGTCAGCGAGGTAAATTCTAGTGGAAGTGCCGGTGCGTAAAATGGCATGCGGTTTCGCACACGATCGTCTAGGAGGGGTTCTATCCGAAGTGTCCCCGATATTGTCTTCTATGATGTTAGAGAACTTCGCGACTCTAAGCAAGTATGCGTCGATTTTTCTCACGATCCTGAGATCTCGGATGTCTCCTTCGATTCCATAGATATCTAGGTGATGAGGATCGAGTGGAAGTTCTAAGGTCACAATTATTGGGTAAATCTGGGGTAAAGCAAAGACCGCGGCAAGTAATGCCCGACTAGGCATTCCGCGGGTACCAACGCTTAACAGCAAGTGCTGCAATTAGCCGGCAGATGACCCGAATATCGGTGTTTCCGCCGCTGAGGCTATCCAGCAGTTGCCGACAGCCCCACCATAAGAGAAGACATCGGAATGTCGGAAATGGAACCGGAACGACGAGGGGAAGTTGCATCATCGCTCATATCACGTCTCTCTTCCTTCAATCTTCTATCTTATATTTGATACCATCATACCAAATCTACGCTTGGAACAACCCACACAACCATCACCATGGCCCCCGACCTCTCCCAAAACAAAGCCGTCAAGCTCGTCGCCCACGCCGCCGCAAACAAATACGCCATCTGCGCAACATGCTGCTACAACGTTGAAGGCATCCTCGCCTCTGTCCGCGCAGCAGAAGCAAAGCGCGCACCACTAATCATCCAACTCTTCCCCTGGGCCCTCAACTACGCCGACGGCATCCTCCTGCACGCCGCCCGCGAAGCCGCCGACAACGCCAGCGTCCCCGTCGCCCTGCACATGGACCACGCGCAAACCCCAGAAATCGTTAAGAAAGCAGCGAACTTCAAGAACGGCTTCGACGGCATCATGGTCGACATGAGCCATTTTGACGATAATCTGGAAAAGACGGCGGAGTTGGTCAAGTACTGCAATGAGCGCGGTATTATTACAGAAGCCGAACCAGGCCGTATCGATGGCGGCGAAGACGGTGTCGGCGACCTGAGTGAAATGGGTCTAGAAGCCATCCTCACCACCCCAGAGCAAGCAGAAGAATTCGTCGCAACAGGCATCAACTGGCTAGCCCCCGCCTTCGGGAACGTACACGGCAAATACGGTCCTAAAGGTCCTCAACTCGATTACCCCCGTCTGCGCAACGTACACAGCAAAGTTGGGGACCGCGTTGCTCTCGTTCTGCATGGTGCGGGTAAAGAGTGGTTCCAGGAGAAGCTGCTCAAAGAGTGTATTGAGTGTGGTGTTGCGAAGGTCAATATTAATGATGCGTTTAATAATGATTTCATCGATGTTATGAAGGAGCAGGCGGGTCTAACGCCGATTACGGGGTTGATTGAGAAGGCGACGGATGCGATGCAGAAGAGTATTGAGAGTTATATTGAGTGGATGGGTGGGGCGGGGATGGCGGATAAGATTGTGTTGTAGATGGTGTTGTGGGCTTGAGTGTATATAGCGGACGCATATGTGTTGATTGTCGATGTATCAGTAATACAAGTGTAGAGTTGTTGAGAATGATTTCGACAGCGTGGGAACCGCAACTATTTCTCCATACCGAGTTGTGTGTAATGGATCAACGATCCGACGAAACAAGTTTTCGGCCGAAAGAACGTCTACATTTCGCGACGATCCGACCATCATCGTGGCTAGTCTTGCGAGATAGTCTGCTACTGCCAGCGCTTTCCTGTGATTACTCATACCAGCAGCACATAAGCGTCAATGCGCGTATGGGGCTACCCAACAACCTACCAACACGACTAAACATCAAGGAAATCTGGAAAGCATAAGAGACTCACCGTTTCCGCGTATCAAGAACGAGCAATTCGCTGGATTCCACAAAGAACAAATTTGTCATTGGGAAACCTCACACAACCCACCATGCCGGCAAACTACTCCCTCCACGCCATCCCTGTATACTGGATCATGGCTCTCTACCCACATATGTACTCTGTACGTTCCACTTCCCCCATCCTCCGCAACTCCAACCTCTTAACCCTACACTAACATCCCCCTCTAGCAAGGACTCTTCAAAGCCGCCACAAACGGCCAGCGCAACAACAACAACCCGCGCGGCGCCTCAACACTAGAACACTACCGAAAATGCACCCCAGAAGCCATCTACACGAAAGCAGAACGTGCAGAAGCTTGCCATCAGAATAGCATGGAGAATGCGCCGTTTTTCATTGGGGCGGTGTCGGCGGGGAATGCGGTGGGGTTGGATGTTGGTAAGTCCTCTATTTGTGGTTCAGTTGAGGGCGATGGGATGAATGGGCATCTGCGTACGATGGGGCGAATGTGAATACATGCTGACGACGAAACCTAACAGCAACGATGAACACCATGGTAGCGTCGTACATCGGTCTACGCGTCATCTACAGTTTCCTGTATGTGAAAGTTGAGAAGAACAAGACGAGTTATCTGAGGAGTGGGACGTGGGCTGCTAGTGTGGCGGTGTTGATGACGATGTTTGTCAAGGCGGGGAACAAGATGAACAGGAGTCTTGGGATGTGAGGCGGGTTCCAGTTCGCATGCATGGTCAACCAAAAGCGGGGATAAAGGAAGAAAAAAGGATTCAAAGACAAATCAGCGGAGAAGTCTGGCGAGATCAAACGATTGCAATTTTGGTAAAAGAATGGAATTTTTCGCTAATATCAATGAAGGAATGTCGTAAAGAATGACAACACATCTACCACCTCTGACATACACGCTCTTCATTCCCAAAGTCCTTCTCACCAACCGCCCATCTCAGAAACTCACTGCGGCCAAGCACACAGTCCACCACAGTCGGACCCGCCATTCAACGGATCACAGTCGTCCCTCGGGTCATCAACACAGATCTGGCCTGGGATATCACACTCAAAGCCCGCAAAACCACCACACAGCTTCTCGCTGACACAGATACCTAGCATATCGCAAGCGGGACCGCAGGAGTCAGGCGTGAAAGGGTCAGTGATGCAAGTCTGGCCTGCGGGACACTCTTGAAGAGGACTTGCGCGACCGCCGCCACAGATCTGGTTGGTGGGGGTAGCTTGGCGAGGATTGACGGGGGTTGGAAGGGGTATGATGCTGGTTGAAAATGTTGTGCTGGCGTCGGGTAGGCAGACCTGTTGTATTGTTAGATTAATTCAGACTTTTTAGTAGCAAGTTGGCTTACCTGAGGTACGGGCTTCTCTCCACCACAAAGCTCATAGCATCTCTGTGCAGAAGCATTCAGGCATTCACATAGCTCAGGCTGTGTCGAGATGCAGTTGACCAGAGGGCATTCGCACTCTGGAGGAGGAGGGGGAGGAGGAATGGACGCAGGAGCAGGCTCTGGCTCTGCTACACGAGCCTTGACGGGGATTGGGGGGCAGGTCGAGGGAGGTGGTGCGGGCTTGCCACACTTTGCGGCGCACCTCACTTCCGCGTTGTAGAAACACCAGCAAGACTGGGGCCATTGCGCGATGCAAACTACGGGCTCGCATTCGCATGTCTCTTCTTGTGGCTCAGCTACGGGTTCCGGGACCGGCTCTGGTTCTGCGTTGCGAGCTTCGATGGGACGAGGTGGGCAGGTGTCGACAGGCACGGGGTTACCACATTTCTCGGCACATGCTGCCGCTGCATCGTACGCGCACCAACAAGATTCGGGCCAAGATTGAATGCAGAAGACGGGCTCACAAGTGCAAACCTCGGCTTCAGGCTCTGGCTTTGCTTCGCGAGCTTCGATGGGGCGAGGAGGGCAGAAGTCAGGCGGCGCGGGACCACCACATTTCTGGGCACACGCTACCGCTGCGTCGTAGGCGCACCGACAAGACTCGGGTCCAAGGCAAAAGACGGGCTCACAAGTGCAAGTCTCGGATTGTGCCTCGGGTACTGGTTCCGGCACGGGCTCTGGAGCACGAGGTGCGATATCGATACTGCAGTCCTCGTAAATCGGCTCTGGACCACCGCATTCCTCGAAGCATTTTCTCGCGTTGTCGTTGCGACAGTAGCAGCCCTCAGGGAAAGCTAGAGTGCAATCGGCTTCCGGACACCAGATACAGACTTGATCTTGTGGCTCCGGTACTGGTTCCGGTACGGGCTCTGCGGCACGAGGTGTGAGATCAACGCCACAGTCCTGGTAGGTCGGCTCTTCCCCACCACACTTCTCGAAGCAGGCCTTGTCCGCGGCATTACGACAAAGACAGCTTTCGGGTATAGATTGGATGCAAACCACGTCCTCGCATACGCAAATAGGTTCTGGCAATGGCACTGGCGTTGGTGTTGGTGCGGGCTGGGGGTTTACGATGTCGACAGTGCAGTCGTCGTAGGTTGGCTCTTCACCACCGCACTTCTCGAAACACGCTTTCTTCGCGTCGTTGCGACAGTAGCAGCCCTCGGGAAAAGAAAGAATGCAGATGACATCTTCGCAGACACAGGTTTCATCTTGGGGTGCTGGGACTGGCGCAGGTACGGGCTCTGGAACGGGCTCCGGCTCCGGGGCGCGAGCTTTGACGGAGTCAATTGGAATACTGCAGTCCTGGTATGTCGGCTCTTCGCCACCGCACTTCTCGAAGCACGCCTTCTTCGCATCGTTTTGGCAGTAGCAGCCCTCGGGGAATGACAGGATGCAGAAGACTTCCTCGCATACACACTCGGTGGGTGTGGGCTCTGGCGTGCTGACAGGCAACCTAGGGCAGTGCTAAATGTGTAATGAGCATTGTCATGTCCTTGGGTGAGATCCTAGCTTACCAGAATACGGGGCTCGTATTCGGGGCATTTCGCCTGACAATCGTACTCTCGCTGGTTGAGGCACGCGCATGCTTCCTGTAAAAGTCTTCGTCAGTGATTGGCGTTGTCTGCTTTAACAAGAGGGTGCATACCAATGCACTGTCGCCGGGGCAGTTAGGTGGTGGGCATGTCGCTACACAGCTGTCCGGCGGCGACTCCAATGCACGCCCAAGGGCGCTTCCGAAAAGAGGAAGAAGGAAGAAGAGAAGCTTCATCGTCAACAAGAAGAAGACCAAGCAATAAAAATGCAGTGGTACCGGTAGATGCCTTGGAGGTTGAATGTCCAGCAGGTAGAGATCGGACCGGATATATATTCGGAAAGCACGTTGGACGCCCTGAAAGCATACTTGGTCTCACCTACCAGCGTAGTCATCTTACACTCATCGCCAAGGAAGCCTATAAGACATGTCAGAGTCGCAGAGTGGCCTCAGGAGACCAGACGACGCCTTCCGAAGCCACCAAACTTTGTGTTCTGGCGAACACGAGTTCACAGCTGCCATCCAAGCTCTTGGCAGTTCGTCCTAGGCATGCGCGTTCCGCTATGTGATGATGCTGCATTTTTCGTATAAGGAAGTACCCTCCAGCCACTACCTAAGACAACACCAACAGTGTCGTCAGACGGGGCGACGTTTTATTTCGGTCAAAAGTCCGGTAATTACGCAATGATGTTTGGATGTTCAAGCTCATGCTAGGGAGCAAGCGCGAAACCGTGACGTGAGACCAAAATTAGCACTAACTCACTTTCCGCGTAACCGGGTAGCATGAATAATGTTATCGATTGCGAGGTGCAGATCATGATAGAAGACGCCTTCGGATCCAGGCACCGTCGCACGTTGCAATTGGAGTCAGCTCTCATTTGCTTCCTGTTGGGTGGGACGGCATATTGATTGAACGGAGGCTTTTGCGGCTGAAATACGACAACTCTGTATGGGTATATTAGGTACTGTATATGCATGCCGGGTATTCAGTCGAGGGTTCCCGGGGTTCCATCTCTCAGCCGGGACGTCGTACGCCCTTCCATTCGTCTTGCCTGTCGCAGGGTGATCTCACGTGGTGTGGCCGCGAAGCACATGGCCATTGGCCAAGCTATGCTGATGGTGAGGAAAGTCGCGGTGGAGGACGAATCGGGTCTGCTGTCCTCGAAGCTCGACGATGAGAGGTCCGCGGGTGAACAAATCTGGCAAAAGTGACGGACGGATGCGAGAGAATGCGGGTGATTTGAAGCTCAGGGATGACCTACGCGGGCCGCTGACGCCAAGGCGCTAGGCCGTCGTTCTTGCCATGAGCCTGGTTATATTTCCGTACTACGTCAGACGACGCTCATCTTCACACGCATTGATCGTACTCTACGCAGTGCAGCAACAACATGCGAAGCTGAGGCTCTCGTGTAAGAAGGACTAGTCAATACAAACCCTACGGAGCTTTCACTTAGCAGAGCTTCAGCAGCTTTAAGGAGCGACTTATCGATTGAGTAGGGTGCGTAAGTTGTCTAAGGCTATGCCAAGTCGTTCTCAAGCGAGCCACTCGCTGACGTGTAATTATGTCTATGACCAATGCAAGCTCAGATGCAACGCCGGTGTGCTTCCCAGGGGTATAGGCCTTCAATGCAACCAAGAACCATTATATGAAACCGTAACTCATTAATAGCGAAATCACCTATTCCTGTCAACGTCTTCAGGCGGAGACCGTCGCTGGAGGCCAGTCGTCGATCGGACCGCGTCGACGCCGCGCCAGACTACAGTAGAAACAGAGGAAGCTAGCTCACGCAATGAGGGGCCCGCTTCGGAAGCTCGCGGGATCTCCCCAGAGGTGCGCCGAGAGTTGTCCCCCGACCAGCCGGCTTCAACATCGTCATCATGCGGAGACGGATCGGCGGGCCCAGATCTGGACATGGGTACAGGTCGCGACGCGGAAGGTGACATGTTGCGAGTCTCGGCAGCTTCGGTCTGTACGTCTTCTTCGCTGATAGATAGTCGGGGCGAGCGCGTTGGTGATGCTGACTGTAGCCGATCGTGCCAGCTTCGACTCAAGGAACGTACAACATCGCCTTTGCAAATGGGGCAAGTCCTCCGGCGCGTGACAAGCCAAGGTGTTCTACTCACGTCAGATCGGCTGTGTCGATAAGATGGAAGAGATACTTACATGCAATCCGCATGGAACTCATGGCCACACGGTAAGCTCATGACCTGACTGACACCATCGACGTACTCTTCCAAACAGACGACGCATTCTCGTTGACGGCCACCATAGCGTCGTCTCCACGCCGCCAGCCCAGATTCTCGCTTCTCTTCTTCGCGGTCACGAGATGCATGCTGCACGGATGTCGACGTGGCGGGAGTCTCTGACACGGTAGTCGAGCGCGACCGAGATTCGGGAGATCTAGAACGAGTTGCAGAATGCTGAAGTAAGGGAGTAGTAGGCGAAGCAGCGCTAGATGTTGCTGCGGATGAAGAATCGCTTATCGTCTGATAGGTCCTGACAGGCAAACGCTCAACAACGGATTTGGGTGCCCTCCAACGGCGACGTCGTATACGAGATCTGAGAAGAAGAAGGGCGTACACAACCGTCAGAGTGACCAATGGGCTGACGACGAGTACGAGTAGAGTGTCGAAGAAAGGACTGCTTGAAACGTTCGTGGGCGTAAGCGTGACCCACAGGCCTTGGTGAGCACTAGTCGCAGACGAGGATGTTTTGATAGACGCGGAGTGGACATCGATGATCGAGGTAATGCTCCTAGTGCGCGCACGACTAGATGACGCTGA